AAGTGCCTTAGGTCTACTATGCTAGAGTGGACCAAATTCAATCAGGAATGGCAAATATTTGACACAAGTACTGTTCCTCCCTTCCATGGTAGATCCTGGTCATTGGCATGGCAGGCTTCCTTCCACACTTGGCCACTTTTCATGCAGGACTCAGAAAATTCATGACTCATTATGAATGGGGCTGCCACACTAATTTTGTTGCAGCTGCTACCACCATCATTAATGTCTACAGAACCCTTAAAATTCTTATAACTCAGAAATTCTGGGATCTCCCCATATTAATGCTAGTGTCTCTTTCTCAAATAAAAAATTACCTGTTAAGTTTGAAGGATCAGTGGGACTCAGTTGTAACCAATGATGTGCATCAGAGTCAGCCACAACATCTGTGGGAGTGTTTAGTTCTGGATCGTCTTCACAGCTCATGGATAGTTCTGCCTCATTGTTATAGCTCAGAGGTGTGTCACTGATGACACTTTCACCTGGCACAATGGAGGGAATCAAAGTCTGAGATAACAAATACTGAAAATCATGTTAACAATCACCAATATGCAAGTGACGAAACATTTAAACAACTGATTGTCACAAATGCTTAAGCACTTGACTATTAACTGAAAGGTTGGTGCTGAGAATCCACCCAGATGATGCCCTGACAATCTACTTTTGAAAGGTCATAGCCATTGGAAATCCTATAGGACATAATTCTACTCTGGCACACATGCCATAAGTTCGAATTGACTGGCTTTTGGTTAAACATGTAAACAACTGCGACAGCAGGAATCATTCATTCAGGGGCTTGGACAGAACCTGCAGAGCTTGAGAAGTCTCAAAAGGTGCCTGTCTGGGACTCTTGGTCAACAACACAGAGCTTCCAAGTGCAGGGCATTTATAGTCATTACAAGTTCCACAACATACATCATCACTCAAGTGGCATTCTCTACAAGATGTGTTCACTCACTGACAGTTATTCCATATAACCATATATTTCCATCAAGTCACTGAGTTTTCTACTGCAACTTATTCACTAACAAAATGGGGTAGGTGGAGAGGGTGAGAATAGATTCAACTACTAATATAATTTATTCTACTGGCATTTAGACCTAGACCAGGTAAATCACCCAGAATCACTTGGGTTAGAGGCTTTGCTAAAACAGTTTTTTTCCCTGTAGAGATTTTCTCCTTTAAATGCTTTATGCAGTTATCATAATGATGCCTTTGAAGGCTATTAAGACTTATAGGGCTATTTAGGCTGACACAAAACACATCTAGCAGCTCTGTTCCTCTAAGTTTCCTGCCATCTTCATAACAGTGTTCTGTCTACTTCTCTGTCTGTTCACCCTTCCTACTGCTCTTTGTATCTAACACTAACAGTCCCCCAGGCTCACTATTACTAATCTATTGTCCTCTGTTTTTGTTAGGTGCCATCAAGTGACCTCCAACACATGACAACCCCAAGCACAAGTGGATCAAACATTTGTGATCTAAAGGGCTCCCAGTGGTTGATTTTCAGAAGTGCATCACCAGGCCTTTCTCCCTAGTCTATTTTAGTCTACAAACACCACTGAAACCTGTTCAGTATCACAGCAACATGCAAGTCTCCACTGACAGATGAGCAGTGGCTTCACACGATGTGCACTGGCCAGGAATAGAACCTGGGTCTCCTGCATGAAAGGCAAGAATTCTACCACTGATGGGACCATAGTCACAGGGGACATCAAGCTCAATTGGCATAACATACTACACAAAACATTGTTCCACCTCCTACTCTGGCGAGTAGCGACTGGGATCTTAAAAACTAGCAAGCTGCCATCTAGATGCAATGAGGGGTCTCTCCACATCAAGAGCAAAGAAGAAAGAAGAAAACCAAAATTAATGGAAACAATTAGTCCTAGCGACTGGTACACCATCTGATCTGCAACCTATACAACTATGAGACCAGAAGAACTAGATGGTGCCTGGCTACCACTTGAAAGGGGATCTATGTAGGAGATCCTGAATAGAGAGGGAGAACATTGTGGAACACAACTCAAAATCATTTGGAGGAAAAAAAAAGAATGTGGGGACCAGGTTTGCTGGTCCAATAGAGCCTGGTGGAACCACTGAAACTATGGCCCCTAGCTGCCCTTCAGGTCTGAAATTGAACCTACACCTGTGGTTTCCAGCCAAACAAAGTACAGGCATGTGAGTTAAACATTTACCTCAAGTAGACACACGCCTTGGAAAGAACAATCATGGGAGAAGGAAGGGCTGCTTATGCACAGGGAGACAGCTCAGGGGGCAGGAGAGTATGGAGGGATGGTCACTAGGAAGAGGTAACTATGGGGAGGAAATGGGAGGAGAGCTGTTGCATTGTGGTAAACTGTGGTCAATGACATGAGGCAAAGTATATGTGAACTGCTGTATGGAAAGTGAATTTGCTCTGTAAATCTTCACCCAAATCACAATAAAAAAAAAAAAAGAGTATATTATGAAGAAAAAAAAAAGAATTCCACCACTGAAACACGAATACCCTCTGCTATCCTCTAGTCACATGCAAAGAACTGAAAATTGTCCCAGTAAACATATAACCAATCTATTAGGTCCTAAAACTTCACCTTACACAGAATTCAAATCATGAGGCTTTGAAGGTGGTGCCTGGGTGCATCTGTATCTCCCAAGAACCAACCAGACTTACAAGGTGGAATTGTTTACTATGCTGTTCTGAGAAGGAAGTTGTCTAGCACCTGACTTCTAGAAAGTAGAATAATATGGCTATATTTTACAATACATGATAATGTATCTCAGGATTCTAATCAAATTGCTTTTTCAAAATACCGATTCAATTGACTCCTGTGGTTTATTGCTTCAAGCCTGTTGGAACTTGCCAGGGAAAAAAAAATTTCTTTCTGGACCCGTCTGTTCACCAAAAATCATCAGCATGTACTATGGCTCTCACCTAGAAAAAGGCCTGAGGTAAAAATACAGGCACTCAGCCTGGCATTCAGGCACAGGTAACTGACTAGAACTGTTTATTGTACATGTGGATTAACCTTTCATTAGTACTGGAATTCCAGGAACAAAAACATCCCATTTCAAAATCATGTTTCTTCAGATGATATCACTTAAGTTAGACACTAAGAACAAAACAAAACACATAATTTCTGTAGTTGGATAAACACATATCATATTTTCTGAAACTTACTCTTCTGTTGTTCCCTATATTTTCCTTGAGTCTGCTGTAAAGCATCTTTTAAATCCAATTCAGCAGGGCTGCTGCTTCTTCGAACTAAGATCTTCAGATAAAAAGAAATATTGCATTTGTTACAGGAAATTTTTAATTTTTACAAGACCATTAAGTTTCTGGTCAACATTTTTAAAGAATAACAAACTAGAATAATAGCAACAAAAATAGAAGAATGGTTTATATTAGAAGGACATGTGTTCAAAAATTATTATAACTGAATTATAAATTACTCAAGACCTGAAACTTTAATTTATGGCCTCTACTTTGTCAATGGACATTCAATTAAATTGATCTATGAAGAAAGGAGGAGCTCAGGTGGCACTGTGGTTAAAGTATTGGGATACCAACCAAAAGATCAGCAGTTTAAACTCACAAGCTGCTCCACAGGAAAAAGATGAGGCAGTTTGCTTCTATAAAATGTACAGTCTTGGAAGCCCTATGAGGCAGTTCTACTCTACTCTATAAGGTCACTATGAGTCAGAATCAGTTCAATGGCAGTGGTTTGGTTTATTAAGAAAGGCATAATTATAAGCAACCAATATTTTTTAAAGTTCTACTAGTTCCTCTGGTCAAACACACATATATAGTTAGTGTGATTTTCCAGAAGGCCTACTTTATCCGTTGTCAGTGAATATCATGGCAGGGATGGCACAAACTCCATTCAGACTTTTAAAAGTTCACTCAGAACATTTCCTAGTTAGATGTACAACAAGCTTTTCTGAGCACTGCTTATATTAAATACAGATGACTAAAACAATAGAAGGCAATCTGCTTCCTCTAAGAATTAATAACTTACTTGGAGAAATAAATAGCATATACAATTACACAAAATCATTACAATATACATAAACAAAATATGCAAAAAAAAAAAAAAAAAAAAAAACTGGGCAATCTATTTCTGTAGTGATACTGCCTTGGAAACCCAAGGAGGGGTTGCTATGAGTCGGGTCTGACTCCATGACAGATTACAACAACAGCAAACAACAAAGGATATGTAGTTACCTTCACTGGCTCACAGTGACAAGAGAGCTGTGAGATATTCAAGAAGGAAAAGACATGAAGTGGGAGAGAGAGAAGGAAGGAAAGTCAAGACAGGAAGCCCCACAAAGTGACTAGTAAGTTTTATGTGCAGGGAAAGAAGTCATTAAAGCAGGCAGTGCAGGGCAGCCACGTGAAAAGGAAAATCTTCGACAAAAGGCAGCTGACAGTGGGCCTTTAACATTAGGATTAGGAATTTTAACCCAATACTGAAAAAATGAGCAACTGCATGTTCCAGAAAATACTTTATTGTAATTAAAAATATACCCAGAAGGATTATCTATGGGACAGACTAGAGTTAAGAAGAAAACTGCTATGGAACTATTACATTGATTCAGAAATGAGGGGATGAGGCTTTTGAAAATGGAAAAGAAGAAACAAGAGAGATGCTGAAGAATGACAGGCAAAGCTTAAAATCAGCTATATATAATTGTAGAAAAAAATTATATCATAAAAGAGTATGAGTCTGGAGAGCCATGAGAACGAGGGTGCTAAAAGCAGGCAAGTAGGCAGACAGAAAGAAAAAAAAGAATCTGAGAAAATGTCTGACATTTCAATTTTCAATTATGGGCTAAATATACAAAAGGGATGTCCTATAATGCAACAAAAATCCAGGATTTGTGAGATAGAGGGTAAAGCCAGGAATAGAGATGTAGATTTAAGGTCCTCCACTGCAGATTTGATTTTTAAAAAAACAAACAAACCTAGGATTTAATGAATCAGCTAAAGGGACATGAAAAAAAATGTCACCCAGCTTTAAAGAAGGATGACATATATTTAATGTGTTTAATGGAAATATGTCCAGGAATTTCCTGACTGAAAAGCAGAATGCAGACTTTTCTGCTTCTGAGTGTATGAGAGACCAAATACTCTCTAGCTGCAGACCCAGATCCATACAAAACCTTTGATTGCAATTTGCACAGGAAGTAAAAGAAAACTATAAATGATCTACAATGCCCTCCAAAGTGAGCAGAAAGCCGTGAAATGAAATGGCATTGTCCTGTGGGTAAACCCAAAGTTGTTACAGCCAATGACAAAAGGAGGACCAAGACTCTGGAATGAAAGTAAAACTCCCTGGTTCCTGGAAGATACAAGCAAATACTGTCCAATTAAAACATCATCAATCTACACAACCAAGTTTTCTGTAGATAAAGAACTGTCAACTAGGATCACACAATCAAAGATCATCATACATCCAAAGAAATGTATCACCATGCATAAAAATCTCAAAAACCAGAAATATCAGATTTAGATCCATAAGGACTTCAGATAACTTCAGATAATTCAGATATAGAATTTAGAACTATAATTTGTAATACAATTTGTTACTTATAAACAAAAAAATACACAATTTGAACTTTTTAAAGGAATAAAAGTTGAGATCACAAATTGAGCAAGCAGTGGAAGATTATTAAAAAAATTGTAAGGTATATTTGAAAAAGAAGCAACTTGAACTTTCAGAAACAAAATGTGTAATTATTCAACTAAAATCCAAATGGAAGTATTAAATAGCAAACTAGGTATGTGTAGAAAGAGAATTACTGAACTGAAATAGAAGCTGATGAAATTATCCAGATTGTACCCAGAGAGTAAAAGAGAATAGAAAATATAAAGTTTAAGATTTAAGAGACATGGAAGACAGATGAAAATGTCTAATACATTTTTATCTAGAGTCACAGAAAGAGAGAGAAGAATGAAAAGAAGCAGTATTTGAAGAGATAATTATTCAGAATTTTCCAGAAATAACAGAAGATAAATACCCACAGACACATAACATATAGCACATACCAAAAAAGATCAAAGAAACCTCCACCTACATATAATGCAGTGTAACAGAAAAAGGCCAAAGAATCATGTTGCCATTGAGTTGGGTCTAAGTCACAGTGACCCTATAGGACAGAGAGAAACTGGCTCAAACAGTTTCCAAGGCTGTAATATTTATGGAAGCAGACGGCCCTATCTTTCTCCCACGGAGCAGCTGGTGGTTCAAACCACCAACCTTTCGGTTTGCAGCTAAGCATGTAAGCACTGTGTCACTAGAGCTCCTTAGGACAAAGAATGTTGTTGTTGTTCTTGTTAAGTGCCGTCGAGTTGTTTCTGACTCATAGCAACCCCACACACAGCAGAACAAAACACCGCCTGATCCTGCACCAGCTCCATGATCCTTGCTATACTTGAGCCCATTGTCGCAGCCACTGTGTCAATCCATCTCATCAAAGGCCTTCCCCTCCTTCATCAACCTTCCACCTTACCAAGCATGACATCCTTCTCCAGGGAATGGTCCCCTCTGACAACATGACCAAAGTAGGTAAGACGAAGTCTGGCTACCCTTGCTTCCAAGGAGTATCTCGGCTGTACTTCCTCCAGACAGATCTGTTAGTTCTTTTGGCAGTCCATGGTACCTTCAGCATTCTTCGCCAGCACCACAACTCAAAAGCATCAACTCCTCTTTGGTCTTCCTTATTCATTGTCCAGCTCTCACATGCATACGAGGCAATTGGAACATTATCATGGCTTGTGTCAGGCACACCTTAGTCCTCAAGGAGACATCCTTGCTCCTCAAGACTTCAAAGAGTTCCTTCACAGCAGACCTACCCAGTGCTACATGTCGACTAATGTCCTGACTGCTGCTTCCAATGGCCTCAATTGTAGAACGAAGCAATGTGAATTCTTTGACAAACTCAACCTTTTCTCCATTTATTGTGATGCTGCTTATTGGTCCAGTTGTAAGGATTTTTGTCTCCTTTATATTGAGATGTAATCCATACTGCAGACTGTGTTCCTCAATCTTCATCAAGTCATCCTTATTTTCAGCAAGCAAAGTTATATCATCAGCGTATCTCAGGTTGTTAACGATTCTTCCTCCAATCCTGATGCCATGTTTTTCTTCACATAGTCCAGCTTCTCGGATTATTTGCTCAGCATATAGATTGAATAAGTGTGGAGAAAGGATACAACCCTGATGCACTCCCTTCCTGATTTTAAACCATGCAGTGCCCCCTTGTTCCATTCAAACAACAGCATCCTGGTCAAGGTACAGGTTTTTCATGAGTACAATCAAGTGTTTGGGAATTCCCATTCTTCTCAATGTTATCCATAATTTGTCATGATCCACATAATCAAATGCCTTTGCATAGTCAATAAAACACACGTAAACATCTTTCTGGTATTTTCTTTGCCTTGAGCCAAGATCCATGTGACAGCAGCTATGATATCCCTTGTTCCACGTCCTCGTCTGAATCCAGCTTGCGCCTCTGGAAGTTCTCTGTCAATATACTGCTGCAACCGTTTTTGAATTATTTTCAGTAAGATATCACTTGCATGTGATATTAATGATATTGTTCGATAATTTCTACATTCTGTAGGATCACCTTTCTTTGGAATGGGTACCAAGAATTGAAGAAAAAATTTAAGCCTCGAGTTGCAATATTGAAAGATTCTAAGGGCAAAACACTTAATGTTGCAGGGAACATCAAAAGAAGATGGAAGGAATACACAGAATCATTGTACTAAAGAGAACTGGTAGATCTTCATCCATTTCAGGAGGTGGCATATTATCTAGTACCAATGGTACTGAAGGAGGAAGTCGAAGCTGCAATGAAGGAAATGGCGAAAAACAAGGCTCCGGGAATTAACAGAATACCCACTGAGATATTTCAATAAACGGATGTCACACTGGAGGCACTCACTTGGTTATGCCAAGGTATTTGGAAGATAGCTACCTGGTCAACTGACTGGAAGAGGACAAGGCATAGCAGGGTATAACAACTAGACAGGATATACATACAACTGCTCAATAATAACAACGAAAGAAAACAAAAAAACGGCTTCCATTAGAAGAGGAAGGGGAAAAGAGGAAGAGACTACAGTAATTATGACACTGCAGTAAAAGTAGCCAATGAATCAAGATAAGCAGTACCAAAATGAAGCCTTATACATCCAGAAAACAATATATATGAAAGAGGCAACACTGTAAGTCAATAAAGAAAAAAAAAAGAAGGATTCAATAAATGGGGCCTGGGACAAGTGGCTACCCATGTGGGAAAATGTAAAGTGAAATCAGATCCCTACCTCACTCCATAAACAAAATTCAATTTTTGAAGGATTTAAAAGAAAAAAAATATAGGATAAAATTGAAACACTTGTAGAACAAAATATATGAGATTTTTATCCCTATGGAATAGAGATTTTTAAATTTCATACAACTCTAATCATAAAAATGATTGCTAGAGTGTATCAAAATTAGGAACTTCTGTTCATTAAAAGACTCCATAAACACAGTGGAAGAAGATATTTGTTATAAAAATAGTCAAAACAAGATCAGTTTTCAGACTATAAAAAGAGCTAGTATAAATCAAAGAGAAAAAGGACAAACAAAAAAACATCAGTAGGCATTTCAAGGATGAAACACAAATGGCCAATCCACATACGGAGAGATTTTCAACCTGATAAGTTATCTGTGAAATTCAAACTAAAGTGAGATACCATTTTCACACACTTGACTAAAAAATATTTAAGTATCTGTCAATATGAAGTGTTGAAAAGAATGGGGATGAATGGGAAGTCTTTATACACTGCTGACAGAAATAGAAATTGGTGCAACCACTTTGGAAAACACTTATGGATTATCTTGTAAAGAACATTCTCTTAAACTATGACTTATCACTTCTACTCTTAAATACCTACCATATGGAAAATCTTAAATATGCCCATCTTGAAACATGTAAGAATGAACATAGGTGTGTTTTCTTCATTTAAAAAAAAAAACAAACTGGAAATAATGTAAATGCCTATCAAAAAGACAATGAAAAAATATATGATAGTATTTTCATAGTGGAATGTCACACTGCAGAGAAAAACTTAATGAAAACTTAACTATATGCCTCAATGTGGCTGAATCTTAGAAATAAATAACCGAATTAAGCAATAATAAGACTTCTACAAAATTCAAAAACTAAAGAAGATATTGATTGGATATAACATATACAGCAAAACTGTGGAGCAAAGCAAGGAAATGATGGACACAAAATCAGGATAATGCTGTTCTCTGGGAGGAGGCAGTAGAGGCAGAAGATAAGGAAGTAACTCCAAGGTAAAAGCAATGCACTGGAAATATTCTAGCTCTTAAGCTGGGTGGTGGGTTCATGTGTATATGAGTTTTGAAAAACAGAATATACATTTGCTCTGCAAGATCTCATCCAAATCACAATAAACAGTTTTAAAAAGAAAACCCACCCAGAATATACATATAAATGCTGGTACATGTCTTTTTTTAAAATAAAGAAACTTAACCCTCATTATCTTATAGCTGGAAGACATAAAGAGAGGTTTTCTTTTTTTATTTAGTACCTTCTTGTGACACTGAGTGTTCTAGGAACATGTACTACTTTAAAATCAAAAATAGGTGTTATTCTGTGCAGATGAGTTATGGGCTCCTTTTTTATTTTCTTCATTATACTTTACACTTATTTTAAAAAAAGGACAATAAAGTTTCTTTCACTTACTATTATTAAAGAAACCATAATAGATCCTTGCATGTACTTATCAAGTACAGATTACCATCTAAAATGCTGTCAGGAAGAGGAATTCTGAATGTATATCTCACAGGCAAGATCTGCTTAAAAATACAGAATGTCACATACAGACTAGATAGTCTTTTCCTTTCCCTTTCCCTCCCTCCTTCCTTTCTTCCTTCCCTTCTATTTTCATGTGACTGTAATTTTACATAGAAAGCAAGCAAGACCTCAACAGATCTCACAGTCATTTGGGCCTATAATCCATATGAATGAAAAATTTCAAAAAAGGAAAAGCCGCACTGCCACAAATAAATTTATTAAATGTGTCAATAACTCAATTGTTTAGTTTTAATGACAACCCCATATGGTTTGAAAAGATCTTACTATTATTTCTTCATGTTCTTTCTTCATATGTACTTTATTTTCTTGAACAGGCTTAGGGTCTGAAAAATTCAAATTCTGTGCACTCGCGATCTTTTGACCTAGAGATTGGAAAAAAAATAAACAGAAGGATGTTTCAGATGGAGACAACTGGGAAAACAATATTTTTATGTAGGTAACTATTAAACAAATAACATAAGACATATATAAATGGGTTATAAACTGGCAGCCTGTGAGTCAAGTCCAATCTCCAGACTTGGTGTCTTTGACCCACAGAGAGATTTCAAGATGGTAGACTGAATGCCATTCAGTCTATGCAATTTGCCAATAAGTCCACTTAGCTTATTATGTTATCACAGGGGAGAGTGACACAAGATACTTCTGGGGCCCTAGGGAAAGTTTCTCAGAGGAACAACCGCCCGGGTTAGCCAAGTAAGCTGGCAGGAGGAAAACAGCAGCATGTGCAGGGCGGAGTTCAGTGTTACTTAAGAACAAAGACTGATAAGAGAAGGCACAGATAATCAGTTATCAGTAGTTAAAAAGTGGGGCAGGACTTCACTACAAGGCCTACAGACATTAAAAAGAGGATTTTATAAATAATCTGATGCCAGTAATTTGAAAAACTAGAAATGTTTAACAAATTTCTAGAAAATCACAACTCACCAAAAAAAAAAAAAAAAAAAAAAAGAAGAGTTTGAATAGTCATAGAATTTTACGATTTGAAAGGTATTTTAAAACTTTCTGTAAGAGAATGCCAGACCATTGATATATTATACCAAACACTTAAGGGGGAAAAAAATCACAAGCCTACACAAAACCTTTCAGACAACAGAAACCTTTCAGAAAACATGTCAAATTATTAGTTATTGTATTTTCTTATTTCAACAGGATTTCTTTTTATGAGACTAACATAACCTCGACTTTAAACAATAAAGGATAACTTGTTGATAAATAAACTAATTTATTTTTTAGTTAACTCGTGAAACTTAAAGAATAAGTATACTTAGACTTCACTTGTTATCTGACATTACACATTTACCACAGGAGTAAAAAATCTACTTAAATCACCTTAAAGCCAAGCTAGGTAAAGACTCACATGTTTTGACTTGAGCTTCAAGTCCCTGATACCTCTCATTCTACCCCTCTTCCCAGTCTTGGATGTGTATTAAGTTATCATTCTATTTTGGTTTTTGTCGTGTTGTTGGTAATTCCTTGGTCCATATACTTTTCTGTGCTGAGTTTGATTCGTTATCAAATGTGTCCTCTCTTTTCTTCTTTTTATTGTTGGTTTTGTGCTTATTAAACCCGTATGTTTTCCTTCCTTCTGGATTTGCTTGGGGGATTGTTAATTTTCTTTGTGGTTACCTTGGAGTGAATTCTTGTCTCTACATCTTTATGAAGATACTCTCCTGTTTTCCTCTCCATTTGGATGTTTGTACCTAGAAGTTTTATTCCCTCTAATAGGTTAGTTGCTATTGTCGTGTGCAGATTGGCTTCCTTGATTTTACAACGTTTTATGGTCTTATTTTGAGTTTCTGTTTCTGATTTGGTTTTAGTGTTGATGTCACGTATCCTGATTTTGTTGATCTCTGTTGTGGTTTCTCTATTGGAAGGACTTCCTTAAGCATTTCTTGTAGGGTTGGTCTGGTTTTCACAAAATCCCTTAATTTCTGTTTGTCTGAGAATGCCTTGATTTCACCCTCATATTTGACGGATAATTTGGCTGGATATAGGATTCTTGGTTGGAAGTTCTTTTCCTTCAGTGTTTTATATATGCCGTCCCATTGCCTTCTTGCCTGCATGATTTCTGCTGAGTAATCCGAGCTCAGCCCGTTTGATTATTATAAGTAATATTTTTGTCCCAGGCAACTCGCAAAATTTATTCTTTGTCTTTGGTTTTGGAGAGTTTGATTATAATATGCCTCAGTGTTTTCCTCTTGGGATCTATCTGGTATTGGGGGGTGTTCTATGACCTTCTTGGACAAATATCTTTTCTTCTTTCATGATATGGGGAAGTTTTCTGTTAGTAGGTGTGATAGTTGGAGCTTTGTGTCATCTTGGCTGGATCACAATTCTGTGTGGTTTAAGCAAGTGTGATGTGGGTTGTCCCAATGACAGGATCAGATATATATGTTTTGAGCATCTAATCCATTGAAAGGGAGTTTCCCTAGGGTTGTGGTCTGCTTCCAGTATATTTATAGACATCCTGGGAAAGAGACACTCATCTGTGGATTGGGATGCTGCCTACAACTGTCCATGAGTGAACAATCCACCATTTGGCCTGGAGATCTTGGATTCATCATTCATTGGAGTCAACAGCCAGTATAGTGCCTGCTAACCTTGAGTTTTTCAGCCTCTGCAGGTGTGTGAGTTGGGAAAAGCCTCCAGCTTGATGTTTGATCCAAGAACTTGGGACTTGCCAGCTTCTATAAGTGTGTGAGACATTTTCCTAAGATAAATTTCTCTTTCTCTTTCTATATATAAGCTTTACCGGTTTTGCTTCTCTAGAGAACCCAGTCTAACACATATGGTACAGAGAGTGGTTCAAGAGAGACAAAATCATAAGGATGGGCTTCCTAGATTGGTTCTCCAATTTGATTAATCGTAAAGGTACTAGTGACCCTGCCTCTGTTAGTAAAGAGGGCCCTGCTAACCCGTGGCATGAGGTGGCAACATTAATATGCAAAATATAGTTACCAATAGATCAAGTACTTTTGAGAAGTGAGGCTCTGGGTGACTGCATATTTGATACTTTTCTGCAATTTTGTCAGCATGAGTATAAAAAAGCTGGTTGGTTGGTCCTACTTATACTAGACAAAGTAGTGAAAGAGCGAGATGAGTTCAGGGCTGCAGAGTCACAGCTTAAGCGCTGCATAAAAGACCTCAATGTTTCCAGCTGTTCTCTAAAAGAAACCCTTATTTTCTCTAGTAACAGAGCTGATAATGTCAAAAAGCAAACCGAGTCTTATTGTAAGGATGGCTGAATTACAATGCTAATTAAATTGCCAACCCAGAATGGTGTCTGAAGTTAAAGTGAGGGCACTGATTGGAAAAAAATGGGATCATGAAACGTGGAATGGGGACATATGGGCAAATAGTCAGGAAGTTCAGGATATGGAGCCTGTAAATTCTGTTGAGTCCCTCCCATCTGAGAGGATTATGGTAAAACCATCATCACCTCCCCATCCATTTGATAGGCTTAACTTGACTGTTCTTGCTGAGTCATTGCCTGAGGCAGAGGCCATGAAAGACATTGCTGAATGTTCTCAGGAATTGCCCCAACCACCCATTGTTGCTGCTAGACCTATAACTAAAGTTAAGTCCAAGCTAGCCCCAAAACATGAAACTGTGTGACTGAGGAGGTAGTATGCTACACCTGAAAAGACCTACTTGATTTTGCTAATATTTACAGACAGAAACCTGGAGAATATGTATGGAAATGGCTACTGAGGGTGTGGGATAATGGTGCAAGGAATGTAACATTGGATCAATTTGAGTTTATTGATTTAGGTCCACTAAGTATGGATTCTTCATTCAATGTCTCAGCTCGAGAGGTTAGGAAAGGATCTACTGGTTTATTTGGTTGGCTTACTGAAGCATGGATTATGCAGTGGCCTACCTTAAGTCAAGTTAAAGTACCAGACCTACCTTGGTATAATGTAGAAGACGACATCCAGAGGCTTAGGGAAATTGGCCTGTTAGAATGGATTTACCTGATTAGACCCCTAGAGCCAGAAATGGAGAGTCCAGAAGACATGCCTTTCACCAGTACGGTGAGGAATAAATTTGTGAATAGAGTCCCAGCATCTTTGAAGACTGCTGTGTTTGTTATTTTATGTAAGCCGGATTTGGCAGTGGGAACTGCCCTAATTGAACTAAGATACTTAACTATGATGGGACTGATTGGACCCCATGGTAGTAGGGGCCCAGTGGCAGCACTCAATTGACAAAGACAATGTGGGTGTGGTTACCATAATGGACATCAGAGTTGGAACAGAAATCAGAATACTCTGACTCATGTGGAATGATGGCATTGGCTACTCACACATGATGTTCCTAGTAGTGAAATATATGGCAAACCCACTAAATATTTACTTGATCTGTATAGACAGAAGAATTCTAGGTCATGTGAACAGCAGCCTCAATTGAATCACTAGAATTGAGTCAATTCCCAGACTTGAGTCAGTTTCCAGACTCTCAACACCTTGAAGGAAGGGGAGGTCAGGTCCCTTTGAAGAAGGACCCCACTACACTGCCAAAAATATATAATGTCAATCTTTCTCCCAGGCTTCCTCAAAGGGACCTTTTACAAGAGTGACTGTTCATTGGGGTAAAGGAAATAATCAGACTTCTTTGGGATTACTGGACACTGGCCCTGAACTGACGCTAATTCCAGGAGACCCAAAGCATCATTGTGTCCCACCAGTCAGAGGAGGGGCATACAGGCATCAAGTTGTTGATGGAGTCTTAGCTAAGGTTTGTCTCACAGTGGGTCCAGTGGGTCCCCAATCCCATCCTGTAGTGATTTCCCAAGTTCCAGAATGCATAATTGGAATAGATATACTAAGCAATTGACAGAATTCCCACATTGTGTCCCTGACATGTGGAGTAAGGGTTATTATGGTAGGAAAAGCCAAATGGAGGCCATTAGAACTGCCTCTACTTACGAAAATAGTAAACCAAAGGCAATACCACATCCCTAGAGGGGTTGCAGAGATCACCACCACCATCAAGGACTTGAAGGATGCAGGGGTAGTGATTCCCACCACATCCCCATTTACTTTGCATATTTGGCCTGTGCTAAAAACAGATGGACCTTGAATTATGACAGTAGATTACTGTAAACTTAGTCAGGTAGTGACTCCAATTGCAGCTGCTGTTCCTGATGCGAATTCATTGCTTGAGCAAATAGGGTATCTCCTGGTACTTGGTACGCGGCTATTGATCTGGCCAATGACTTTTTTTCAATACCAATTTCAAAGGACCATCAGAAGCAGTTTGCCTTCAGCTGGCAAGGCCAAAAATATACTTTCACAGTGTTTCCTCACAGGTATATCAACTCCCTAGCTCTGGTAGCATAGTGCCTAAGGCACTTGACTGC